GGGTTTTGCCATGTTGGCCATTCTGGTCTTGAACTCTTGAACTCAAGGGATCTGCCCTCCTTGACCTCTCAGAGTGCTAGGATTTCATGTGTGAGCCATCGTGCCCAGACCAAGTGTATATTTTAAAAGGAGAGGAATTTTTCTCATAGTTGCTTGCAATTTGACCACTGCTTCTCTGTCAGTGATCCCTCAATCCTTCTGCATTTCTTTGGTTGTGCTGGTTACAATCTAAAACTCATTAACTGTGATTTCCTCTTAAATCAATGCTGACAACTCCTAAAAGCTTCTATAGACTAAAAGAAGGTAACATGAGGCAGGCTTAGCTTGCTTCATAAATTGGTCCTCGCTGCTATCTACAGCTCCAATTAGAAAGCTGTTAGTTGCTCTAAGACGAGTTAGTAACATGTGAAACTGGAGACCAGATGTGACTTTTTGCAAGGTTGGAAGCAAAGGTTCCCAAGAAGTTATACACTGCCCGGGGCTCCACTATAGACTCACTTGGTTTTTAACTTTTCTCTTCAGTCCTTAGGTCTACCCTCGTCTCGGTAATAGTGCTTCCTTTTTTGGACAAGAAATTCCACCTTCTAACCACCAGGGATGGTCTCACTGTAAGAGATATTCTCCTCTCCAGGAGTATGGTTCTTTAAATTTGAGTCATTTCTTCAAGAACAATGGCTCAGAGCAGCAACAAGGATGTCTAAGGTAAGCTTTAGGAGATGAAGTCCTGTCTGGCAGTCCCATGCAGGCCATTAGCAAATTTGGACATCTTTCAGATCTTCCCACCAGAGATAACTGCATATATCTTTTTAATTTTGTTTGGAAGTCTATTGGGTAGGGAACTATTGGATTAGAAATATATACACATAAATCACTTGAGGATAAATACTGGAGAATGCTAGTCTAAACTTATAAGTAAGAAGAGAAACACTTTCCTATTGCCCGTAATTTGCAAGAACACCACTACTTATATTGGAGTCATTACATTGTTATACATACTGATTTTAGTGTCTTTCTTCCACCATTACCCTCACTCCTACTCCTTAATTTTTGCTTTTAAATTATACTCTGTTTAGACCCGCGAGGAGTAATAATAAATAGGCTCAATTATTAACAATAGGCTTATGTAGAGGATGTTACCTTACCTAGTGAATCTCGGCTAGAGCATTTCAATTAGTCATTGTAAGGTTATAAGCTAATGTCTTAGGCTTGGTACAATTCTCGCTAATTTATGATGGCAGTGGTGGTGTAGTAGTGATTTTGTGCTTCCAGTTACATAAAAGTGTCATTTCTAGATGTTACTAAATTTCATTAATAATCAGATAAATGTAAATTAAAAGGACAATAGAATAACGATATATCACTTTTTGCCTATCAGACTGGAAACATTTTGATACTGAGAAAATATCTAGTACAGAAGGAAGTGGACACTTTCACCCAATGTTATTATTTGTTTAAGTTGATACAATCTTCCTGGAAGGTAACCTGGTAGTATGTTTATATAATTAAAATATGTTGTCAAATAGTGACTTCTCAAAACCTCATTATAAAAACTGTCGATTAAGCCAAGTTAAGTGTACTAGATTTACTGCATTATGAAAGTATACCGCCTTGACTGAGGCTTAACAGTGTCTCAAAATAGAAAATTAGAGCCAATTATTTGTAGAGTTTTAGAGCTTGGGCTGAATACTTTCAGGGAATGTCAGGAATATGATTAGGATTGGGCACAGTTTATGATACAGTAGCTTGATATTGGTGGGCACAGGAAGGGAATTGTTTTAAAGTGTTTCTTTTCTTCTTCTTTTTTTTTGGTACAGGGTGTCACTCTATCACCCACAGTGAAGTTCAGTGGCTCTGTCACGGCTCACTGCAGCCTCAACCTGGTTCAAGCCATCTTCCCAACTCACCCTTCTGAATAGCTGGGACTACAGGCATGTGCTACCATGCCTGGTTAATTTTTGTATTTTTTGTAGAGATGGGATCTCATTATCTTGCCCAGGCTAGTCTTGAACTTCTAGGCTCAAGTGATCCCCGCTATGCAGCTTCCCAAAGTGTTAGAATTACAGGCGTGAGCCACCATGCCCAGCTCTTTACTGTATTTTTATTTTTATTTTTTAACTGTCATTTTAAAAAGACAAATATGGCTGGGCATGGTGGCTCGCGCCTGTAATCCCAGCACTTTGGGAGGCCAAGGCAGGCAGATCACAAGGTCAAGAGATCGAGACCATCCTGGCCAACATGATGAAACCCCATCTCTACTAAAAATACAAAAAAATCCCAAAATTAGCTGGATATGGTGGCATGTGCCTGTAGTCCCAGCTACTCAGGAGGCTGAGGCAGAAGAATCACTTGAACCTGGGAGGCGGAAGTTGCAGTGAGCTGAGATTGCCCCACTGCACACTCCAGCCTGGTGACAGAGTGTGACCCTATCTAACAACAACAACAACAAAAAGACAAATATGTGAAATATACATAGACAGATAGTGTTTTATTTTTTAAATAAAAGGAATAAGTTAATAAACATCTAAATGACTGGATCAATTATGGGCATTTATAAAATGGGTTATCATGCTGCCATAAAAGGGTATTTTTTTTCATATCAACATAGAAATGTCTATGCTTATTAAGTAAAGAAAAAATATAGAATTACAATGCATATGTTAGCATTTGTTTGGCTTCAAGCAGTGGTGTGCCAGAGCTGGTTCATATTTGCTTGAGAGAGCACGGGGCTCTTGAGAGCCAAATGTGTACATTTCTTCACAGGTGCAGTCAAGCTTCATGTTGGTTGTTTAAAATTGGCCATAGTGAGAGTATTTAAAGTATTTACATCAAGGAAGTCAGCAAAGACTACAAGTCAGGGGAACTTTTTCCCTGCCCTGGAGCTGGTTTACTAGCATGCCACTGGCTTCAAGTAACAGAAAACACGACTAGCACAGGCTTAAACTCTAAAGCCATTTATTGCTTACCGCAAGGAGACCAGGAGTGGTAGGCAGTTCAGGAAAGGGTCAGCAACTAATTACGTCATCGAGGATCAAGGCTCTTTTTATTCTTATCTCAGTAAATGTGCGCTTATATTTCATTGTTCAGATCTGTTCACATAGCCAACCCTAGTTACAAGGGAGCCTGGGGGCCGGTAGCTGGCAGCTGAAAACAGGATAGCCATGAGTCGAACGTGCATCTTCTGGAGTCGTACCTATAACTGCTACAAACAAATCAGGGTTTATCAGCAAGGGTGGAGTAGGGAATGGATAAGCAACTACCAGTGTCTGCTACTAATGTGTATGTGTGTACATGTGAATAAATATAACAATAAATAAATTAATAAATAAATGTTCATTACTTTAAAAATATAGCTGGGTGTGGTGGTTCACACCTGTAGTCCCAGCCACTTGGGAGGCTGAGGCGGGAGAATCACTTGAGGCCAGGAGTTTGAGGCCAGCTTGGGTAACATAGTGAGACCGTCTATCTGTAAAAAACAGAAGTAGGTTTTTGTTTTTGTTTTGAGACAGAGTCTTGCTCTTGTGACCCAGGCTGGAGTGTAATGGTGTGATCTTGGCTCACTGCAACTTCTGCCTCCCAGGTTCAAGCCATTGTTGTGCCTCAGCCTCCCGGAAGCTGGGATTACAGGCGTGCGCTACCACACCCAGCTAACTTTTGCATTTTTAGTAGAGACAGGGTTTCTTAATGTTGGCCAGGCTGGTCTGGAACTCCTGGCCTCAAGTGATCCACACACCTCGGCTTCCCAAAGTGCTGGATTATAAGCATGAGCTACCATGCCTGGCCAAAAATTAGGTATATATTTATACATCAAAATATCTATAAAGAAATATAACACATTCTTAAATGTGTTTAGATCTGGAGTAGAAAGGTTGGACTTTGAGGATACTTTATATATTTTTATGTATATGTATTTTTATTTATTTTTTAAGAGACTTTAGGAGCAGTTTTAGGTTCACAGCAGAATTAAACAGAAAGCACTGAGATTTCCCATATACACCCTTCCCCCACACACGCTCAACTTCCCCCATTTTCAGCATCTTCCACCAGAGTGCTACATTTGTTGCAATCCATGAAACATCATTATCATAATCACCCAAAGTCTGTAGTTTACATTAGGGTTCACTCTTGGTGTTGTATATTCATGGGTTTAGACGAATTTATAATCCGCCATTATAGCAGCATACAGAGCAGCTTCACTGGCATAAAAATTGTTTGTGCTCTGCCTATTCATCCCTTCACCTACCAACTCTTGGCAACTACTGATCTTCTTACTTTCTTCCTAGTTTGATTTTCCAGAATGTCATACACAGGTATACCTTGGAGACTTTGCAGGTTGAGCTCCAGACCACCATAGTAAAGCAAACATTGCAATACAGTGAGTCACACTAATATTTTGGCTTCCCAATGCCTATAAAAGTTATGTTCACACTACTCTGTAGTCTATTAAGCATGCAAAAGGGATCTGGCAGTGGCTCATGCCTGTAATCCCGACACTTTGGGAGGCTGAGGCAGGAGGATCGCTTGAGCCAGGAGTTTGAGATAAGCCTGGGTAACATGGTAAAACCCCATCTTTACAAAAAATACAAAAATATACCTGGATGTAGTGGCACAAGCCTGCAGTACCAGCTATGAGGTGGGAGGATTGCTGAAGCTCAAGAGGTCGAAGCTGCAGTGGGCTGTGAGCATGCCATTGCACTTCAGACTGGGTGACAAAGCGAGACTCTGTCTCCACAAAAAACGCAAAAATTAACCGGGTGCGGTGGTGCACACCTGTAGTACCAGCTACTTGGGAGGCTGAGGTGGGAGGATTGCTTGAGCCTGGGAGGACAAGGCTGCGGTGAGCAGTGATCATGCCACTGCATTCCAGCATGGACAGCGATGTGAGACCCTATCTCAAAAATAAAATAAAATAAATAAATAAATAATAAATTCTTGTCATTTCAACAATGTTCACAGCATCTTCACCAGGAGCAGATTCCATCTCAAGAAACCACTTTCTGTACTTGTTTCAGCAGCATATATACTTAAATTGGCACAATATAGAGAAGATTAGCATGGCCTCTGAACAAGGATGACATGAAAATTTGTGAAGTGTTCCACATTTTTTGACAAATGGGATCTAATTAAACTAAAGAGCATCTGCACAGCGAAAGAAACTATCATCAGGGCAAACAGGCAACCTACAGAATGGGAGAAACTTTTCCCAATCTACCCAAGTGACAAAAATCTAATATCCAGAATCTACAAGGAACTTAGATTTACAAGAAAAAAAACCAAATAACCCCACCAAAAAGTGGGCAAAGAACAGGAACAGACACTTCTCAGAAGAAGACATTTATGCAGCCAACAAACATGAAAAAAGCTCAACAGCACTGATCGTTAGAGAAATACAAATCAAAACCACAATGAGATACCATCTCATGCCAGTCAGAATGGCGATTATTAAAAAGTCAAGAAACAACAGATTCTGGTGAAGCTACGGAGAAATAGGAATGTTTTTACACTCTTGGTGGGAATGTAAATTAGTTCAACCACTGTGGAAGATAGTGTGGTGATTCCTCAGGGATCTAGAACCAGAAATACCATTTGACTCAGCAATCCCATTACTGGGTATATACCCAAAGGAATATTAATCATTCCGTTATAAAGATACAGGCACAGGTACGTTTATTGCAGCACTACTCACAATAGCAAAGACAGGGAATCAACCCTAATACCCATCAATGATGGACTGAATAAAGAAAATGTGGCACATATACACCATGAAATACTACGCAGCCATAAAAAGGAATGAGATCATGTCCTTTGCAGGAACATGGATGAAGCTGGAAGCCATCATCCTCAGCAAACTATCACAAGGACCAAAAAGCAAACACCACACGTTCCCACTTATAAGTGGGAGCTGAACGACAATAACACATGGACACAGGGAGGGGAACAACATACACTGGGGGCTGTTGGGGAGCAGGGGTCAGGGGTCAGGGAGAGCATCAGGACAAATAGCTAATGTATGTGGGGCTTAATACCTAGGTGATGAGTTGATAGATGCAGCAAACCACCATGGCACATGTTTAGTTATGTAACAAACCTGCACGTTCTGTACATGTATCCCGGAACCTAACGTAAAATAAAATTTAAAAAAAAAGAAAAAAAAAGGAAGCCACCTTCTTTGCTTATTCATAAGAAGCAGCTCCTCATTTGTTTAAGTTTTATGATGAGACTGCAACAATTCAGTCACATTTTCAGGCATCACTTCTAATTCTAGTCCTCTTGCTATTTCTACCACCTCTGCAGTGATTTCCTCAGCTGAAGAATTAAACCTCTGAAAGTCATCTATGACGGTTGGAATCAACTTTTTTCAAACTCCTGTTAATGTTGTTGACATTTTAGCTGGGTGCAGTGACTCATGCCTGTAATCTCAGCATTTTGGTACACTGAGGTGAGAGGATCATTTGAGCCCAGGAGTTTGAGACCAGCCTGGGCAATACATGAGCATTTGTCTCTAAAAAAACTTAAAGAACAGTTAGCCAGGTGTGGAGGCTGAGGAAGGAGGATTGCTTGAGTGCAGGAGTTTTAGGCTACAGTGAGCCATGATCACGCCACCACTGCACTCCAGCCTGGGCCACAAAGCAAGACTTTATCTCTCTCTCTCTCACCTTTTTTTTTTTTTTTTTGAGACAGGGTCTCCCTCTGTTGCCCAGGCTGGAGTGCAATGTCATAATCTTGGCTCACTGCAACCTCCACTTCCCAGGATCAAGCCATTCTCTTGCCTCAGCCTCCCAAGTAGCTGGGACTACAGGCATGCACCACAACTGCAGGCTAATTTTTCTATTTTTGGTAGAGACAGGGTTTTACCATGTTGGCCAGGCTGGTCTTAAACTCTTGACCTCAAGTGATCCACCTGCCCCTGCCTCAAGACCCTATCTCTTAAAAAAAAAAAAAAAAAAAAAAAGCAAAAGCTGACATTTTTGACCTCCTCCCATGAATCACAAATGTTCTCACTGGCATCTAGAATGGTAAAATTTTCCAGAAAGTTTTCAATTTACTTTGCCCTGATCCATCAGAAGAATCACTATCTATGGCAGCATAGTCTTATGAAATTTCTTTCTTTTCTTTTTCTTAATTGATTAATTTATTTTTATTTTTTGAGATGGAGTCTCCTTCCATTGCCCAGGCTGGAGTGCAGTGGTGCCATCTTGGCTCACTGCAAGCTCTGCCTCCTGGGTTCACGCCATTCTCTTGCCTCAGCCTCCCGAGTAGCTGGGACTACAGGCGCCCGCCACCATGTCCAGCTAATTTTCTGTATTTTTAGTAGAGATGGGGTTTCCCTGTGTTAGCCGGGATGGTCTTGATCTCCAGACCTCATGATCTGCCTGCCTCGGCCTCCCAAAGTGCTGGGATTACAGGCGTGAGCCACCGCGCCCGGCCTCTCTCTCTCTTTTTTTTTTTTGAGATGGAGTCTCATTCTGTTTACCAGGCTGGAGTACAGTGGCACGATCTTGGCTCAGTGACACCTCCGCCTCCCAGGTTCAAGCGATTCTCTTGCCTCAGCATCCTGAGTAGCTGGGATTATAGGCATGCGCCACCATGCCCAGCTACTTTTTGTATTTTTGGTAGAGATGAGGTTTCACCATGTTGGCCAGGATGTTCTCAAACTCCTGACCTCAAGTGATCCACCCACCTTGGCCTCCCAAAGTGCTGAGATTACAGGCATGAGCCACCACTCCTGGCCGAAATAGATTTCTTAAATAATAAGACTTGAAAGTCAAAATTCGGCTGGGCACAGTGGCTCATGCCTGTAATTCTCTTTTGGGAGGCCGAGGCAGGTGGATCACCTGAGGTCAGGAGTTCGAGACCACCCTGGCCGATATTGCAGAACCCCATCTCTACCAAAAATACAAAAACTAGTCGGGCACGGTGGCATGCGTCCATAATCCCAGCTACTCAGGAGGCTGAGGCAGGAGAGTAATTTGAACCCGAGGATGGAGGTTGCAGTGAGCCGAGATCACGCCACTTCACTCCAGCCTGGGCAGAAGAGCGAGACTCCATCTCCAAAAAAAAAAAAAAAAAAAAGAAAGTCAAAAATCTTCATTGATCCATGGGCTACAGAATGGACGTTGTGTTAGCAGGCATGAAAGCAGTATCAATCTCCTGGTACATAGCTGTCAGAGCTCTTGATTGACCAAGTGAATGGTCAATGAACAATAATATTTTGAAAGTAATCTTTTTTTCTGAGCAGTAAGTCTCTACAGTAGGCTTAAAATACTCTGTAAACATGCCATAAGAGATGTACTGTCATCCAGGCTTTGTTGTTTCATTAATACAGCACAGGCAGAATAGATTAGTGTACTTTTCCTTTCTTTCTTTTTTTTTTTTTTTTTTGAGACGGAGTTTCACTCCTGTTGCCCAGCTGGAGTGCAGTGGTACAATCTTTGCTCACTGCCACTTCCTTCTCCCAGGTTCAAGTGATTCTCATGCCTCAGCCTCCCGAGTATCTGGGATTACAGGCATGCACAACCACGCCTGGCTAAATTTGTACTTTTAGTAGAGATGGGGTTTCTCTATGTTGGTCAAGCTGGTCTCGAATTCCCGACCTCAGGTGATCCGCCTGCCTCAGCCTCCCAAAGTGCTGGGATTACAGGCGTAAGCCACTGCACCTGACCAGATTAGCCTAATTTTTCAGGGTGCTAGGATTTTTGGAATGGTAAATAAGCATTGGCTTTAACTTAAATTACCAGCTGCATTGGTCCCTAACAAGAGTCAGCCTGTTCTTGTAATCTCTGAAGCTGGGCATTCACTTCACCTCTGTAGGGATCATCTTCTGATAGAAGGCTGTTTTCTGTACATTGGAAATCTGTTGTTTAGCATAGTCATCTTCATCAGTGATCTTAGCTATATCTTCTGGATAACTTGTTGCAGCTTCTATATCAGCACTCGTTGGTTTACTTTGCACTTGAATGTTACAAAGAAGCCTTCTTTCTTTACAACTCATGAACCAATCTCTGCTGGCTTCCAACTTTTCTTCTGCAGCTTCTTCACCTCTCTCAGCCTTCGTAGAATTTAAGAGAGTTTGGGTCTTACTCTGAATTAAGCTTTGGCCTAATTCAGCGAGTGTTGCTGGTTTGATCTTCTACCTAGACACTGCAACTTTCTTCATATCACTAATGAGACTGTTTCACGTTCTTATAATTTGTGTGTTCACTGGAGTCTCACCCTGTCACCAAGGCTGGACTCAAACTCCTTGCCTTCCAATTTAGCCTCCCAAAGTGCTGGCATTCTCCTGCCTCAGCGTACCAAAGTGCTGGGATTACCGGCTTGAGCCACCACACCTGGCCTAATTTCCTTCAAGAACTTTTCCTTTGCATTTTAACACCTTGGCTACCATTTGGCGCACGAGGCCTAACTTTCAGCCTGTCTTGGATTTTCACATGCCTTCCTCACTAAGCTTAATCATTTCTAGCTTTTGATTTAAAGTGGGAGAAGTGTGTCTCCCTTTCACTTTAACACTTAGAATTAGAAGTCATTGTAATTTGGGGGACACATTCAAACCATAGCAAATGTGAAACTGCTTAGTATAGTGCTTGGCACATATTATATGTTTAATAATGTTATTTGGCTAAGAGTGGTGGTTCACAGCTATAATCCCAGCACTTTGGGAGGCCAAGGTGGGTGGATCACTTGAGATCAGCCTAGGCAACATGATGAAACCCCATCTCTGAAAATAAAAAATATATAAATTTAAAAAACAAACACAAAATAATATCTGGATTTAAATATTGTATATTAACCTATGTATATTAATACTTTTAATACAAGCCCATGCCTACCTCATTACATTTATTCTCAAACATTTTGTGTTTTCTATTGCTAATGTAAGAATGAGAAGGAAGATTTATTGCGAGATCAGAGAAAGCAAGGCTGGAAAGGCCGGTAGGGAGATTAGGGTCCTTGATTGATAGCAGAAAATTTGGGTTTTATCTGGGCAGCAATTGAGGAGCCACCAAAAGAAATAATCAGTATAGTAACATACTTAGAGTTATGCTTTAGAAGGATTATTTCCCTTTTAGCATGTAGAAGGAGCATGGGACCAGAGCCACTGAGAGCAACAATTATGGCAAGGCCTTTCAGTTCTACGAATTGATATCAAGGCAGCATGATAATCAGGAACCTGGAGGGGCCGAGCGCTGTGGCTCACGCCTGTAATCCCAACACTTTGGGAGGCGGAGGCGAGCGGATCACGAGGTCAGGAGATAGAGACCACGGTGAAACCCCGTCTCTACTAAAAATACAAAAAATTAGCCAGGCGCGGTGGCGGGTGCCTGTCGTCCCAGGTATTCGGGAGGCTGAGGCAGGAGAATGGCGTGAATCCGGGAGGCGGAGCTTGCAGTGAGGCGCGTTCAAGAACTTCGGGGGTGGGGGATGGGGGATGGGGGGTGGGAGGCGGCGAGAGGGACAGCATTAGGAAAAACACCTATGTAGATGACGGGTTGATGGGTGCAGCAAACTACCATGGCACATGTATAGCTATGCAACAAACCTGCACGTTCTGCACATGTACCCCAGAACTTAAAGTATAATTAAAAAAAAAAAAAATCAAACCCTGGTGTTTAAACCTAGTAGGGGAGGTTACAGAAGGGTCAAAAGAATGTGGCTCATCTGGTGCTTTGAAACTGTGAGGCTCACATACGTACAATCAGTTTATTACACTTCCCTAGTTTCATAAAGATACACGTGTTCTTAGGCCTGCTTTTGATTTTTTCCTGTTTTTTTTTTGATCCTCTCTTCTTATATATGGCAGTTTCAAAATGCCCTAGATGTTAATGGTCAACTTCTAAAAATGTCGAGAATTTGCACGGAAGGGGAAGGTGAGCGACTTGCATTGGGCCACAAGGAAGGTCCTGATTACAAGTGTCTCAATAGGAAGCAATAAGGAAACAGACAAATGAAGTTGCTTAGTACTAAGTAGGCACAGAAAGAAGACCTGAGGTTTAGAGAAAAAGTAGGAATCCTGCATGCAGGAAGTGAGAACTTGAGAGAGAAAGACGTAAAAAAAAAATTTTAGGGCTTTTCTTGCCTGGGTGTCTAGAAGATTAGAAGTTTTATAAACAGGTGGAAGAGTAGTTTAGAGGATTCCCAGGAGAAGCTAGAAAGATAATTAAAATTTAGTTATATTAAATTAAGTATTGCCAGAAATTAGAGCGGCACTGTTCAAACAGGAGTTAAAAATTCAAAACTAGAGCTCAGGAGAGGTCAGAGAGGGATATAAAGAGTTGAATATTGGGGATATGGGGTTCATACTTGCAGGAATGGATGACATCACTGAGGATGCTTACCTGGTGCAAATGATGGGACGGTTGAGGGCAGAAACTGAGGAAATATCACTTTGAGGGGCAGGAAGGAAAGAATGGTTTCCTGAGCAGCAGCAGAAAGTTCAGAGAGTTGGAGAAACTATGGAGTGTAGAGTCTCACCTATGCTGGCGAGGCATCTGAGGATCAACATATGTCAGCAAAGTCACGGGGTCTGAGATTTGGCAATGAGGTCACTACTGACTTTGGAAGTTCTTGGTAGAGTGGTGGGAATGAATGAATCTAATCGTATCTCAAAAGGATTGGTAGAAAGAAGGTAGAATGAAGTGATGTTGAGGCCAAAAGATAAGCTGGTAGGAGAACAATCTCTCTCTATAGCTTTTCTCAAGTAGGAGTAGCATGTTAAGCAAACAAAGGACAACAAAGAATTGACCTTATATCTACTGGAAAAACAGAAAATCTCCACACATTTTGAAATGGTCTGATTTATTGTGTAATTATTATTATTATTATTATTTTTGAGACGGAGTCTTGCTCTGTAGCCTGGGCTGGAGTGCAGTGGCCTTGGATCTCAGCTCACTGCAAGCTCCGCCTCCCGGGTTCACGCCATTCTCCTGCCTCAGCCTCCGGAGTAGCTGGGACTACAGGCGCCCGCCACCTCGCCTGGCTAGTTTTTTGTATTTTTAGTAGAGACGGGGTTTCACCGTGTTAGCCAGGATGGTCTCGATCTCCTGACCTCGTGATCCGCCCGTCTCGGCCTCCCTAAGTGCTGGGATTACAGGCTTGAGCCACCGCGCCCGGCCGTAATTATTATATTTTTTCTGCTTAAAACTCTTCATTAGCTTCGTTGCTTGATAAACTCTTAAGTATGATGTAGAAATTCCTCTGTGATCTGGGTTCTGCATATTTCTCTAGTCTCATCGCTCACACCTCCTTTGCACACACAGGTTTTTCCAGCTTTTCAAATGTCTCGTGCTGGTTCTTGTGCTCGTGTTTGCAGCTTCTGGGTCTTCTTTCCAGTTCCCTATTAGCTTCTTAAATCTTTAACTGTCTTCTCAAACTAAGCTCAAAGTTCTTTTCTATGAGTAATTTTTGGGTGCTCAGGGTTGACATCAACATTCCCCTGTATTTCTATCACCTAGCTCCATGTTGGGTACACAGTCTGTATTCTATAAATGCTGAGTGAGCAAATAAATGAAAATGCAAGTCTTCACATCACATCCATTTTTCATTTCAAAAACATACAATATAGTACACAGCATTTATTCTTGCCATACAATATTCATTTTTGTGATTTTGTTAAAACACAAATAATTTTTTTTTTTTTGAGATGGAGTCTCGCCCAGTCACCCAGGCTGGAGTGCAGTGGCGTGATCTCAGCTCACTGCAAGCTCCGCCTCCCAGGTTCATGCCATTCCCTTGCCTCAGCCTCCGGAGTAGCTGGGACTACAGGCGCCCGCCACCACGCCCGTCTAATTTCTTGTATTTTTAATAGAGATGGGGTTTCACCATGTTAGCCAGGATGGTCTCGATCTCCTGACCTCGTGATCCGCCCACCTCGGCCTCCCAAAGTGCTGGGATTACAGGCGTGAGCCACCGCGCCTGGCCAACGCAAATAAAATTTTAAGTAGCTCCAGCTACTCAGGAGGCTGAGGCAGGAGGATGGCTTGAGCCTTGGAGGTGGAGGCTGCAGGGAGGCGTGATTGTGCCACTGTACTCCAGCCTGGGCAACAGAGCACAACCCTGTTTCCAAAAAAAAAAAAAAAAAAAGAAAGAAAATTTAAAAATATTATTTAAAGCTTGTAACATAAAAGTTCTAATCTCATGAGTCTGTTGTAATTTTCCATTTCATTTCTTTCTTTTTTTTTTTTTGAGACGGAGTCTCGCTCTGTCGCCCAGGCTGGAGTGCAGTGGCGCGATCTCGGCTCACTGCAAGCTCCGCTTCTCGGGTTCACGCCATTCTCCTGCCTCAGCCTCCTGAGTATCTGGGACTACAGGCACCCGCCACCGCTCCCGGCTAATTTTTTGGTATTTTTAGTAGAGACGGGGTTTCACCGTGGTCTCGATCTCCTGACCTTGTGATCCGCCCGCCTCGGCCTCCCAAAGTGCTGGGATTACAGGCGTGAGCCACCGCGCCCGGCTCCATTTCATTTCTAAACGTTACAGCAGGCTATTTTTTCCCTTTATTTCCTTTGGAGCAATTATCCTCTTTATGACTCTAGTAAAAAGAATCAGGGACAGGCCTCCAGTTTAGATCTAAATGACTAAAATCAAACCATTTAAGGTTTCAGTGTTACAAGAATCAAGGAGGTTTTAATCTCAATTTGTGTTTGCATTTAGACGTGACCGTTGGCTCTCCCAAGGGAGAGAGGAGAAAAGATGGCCCCTACACCTGGTTTCAGGTTGATTACAATAAACAAGGAACCAGTTTAGTATACAAGGCTCGTTTTGCATTAAACACATTTTTGTGCAGAGGAGGTGGTGGTGGTGAAGATAAAATCTCTAATCAAATCCCGCCAATTTGCATTGTTCTCTGGGGGAATAGGCTTTCAAAAGTTAAGGAACAAAAGAGGATTTGGTTTTCCAATCTCCCTTAGGCGGCAGCAGATTATGAAGCAGCCACCGGGAGAAACCAAAGTATAAATTATCAATAAGAGGACGGTGCGTGCGTGCGTGCGTGCGTACGTGTGTGTGTGTGTGTGTGTGTGTGTGTGAGAGAGAGAGAGAGAGAGAGAAAGCGAGAGAAGCGAGGAAAGAGATGGGGAACACACATGCTAAGGCTCCGAGGCGTTTTCCACGGTGTGCCTGGTTATGTAATGTTGATAATGAAACGCGCTGCAACAGCATCAATGCATTCTTCCGACCCTGCACACCACCCCAAGCTGGGATACAATGGGGACGGGAGGAGGGGACACGAAGCCCTGTGCAGGCAGACAGCTGTCCAGACAGAGGTAAACCAGGCAGCTGGGCAGAACCTGAGCCCAGAGAATTTCTGCTCAGGCCCCGAGACCAGCCCACCGTCGCTGTGGCTCTAAAGATGGGCAGAAGAACCAGTTTCAAGAAGCAGGATCTGGGATCCGATCTCTTAGTTTTTATTCAGCAGGCAGGGAAAAGGGGTTAGAAGCCGGAAATCCGCATTTCCACACGGCTCTGGCGACTGAGACAGGAAAGCGTGCACCTCACGCTGAACAGCCACGGCAGCGCGTGGGCAGTGCGCACCCTCGCGCGGGGACGCGGAGTTCCTGGAGCGGGAGCGCGGAGCTCCTGGAGCGGGAGCGCGTGCGGTCTCCAGCCCGCCGCTCCCCAGCAACGGCGCATGCGCCCGTTCGTCCCTCAGCGAAGGCGCGCTGCTTGGCGGGCGGGCTCTTCCAATCCGAGCCAGCGTTCTCGGAGTACGTATCCCGGAGCTGCAGGCTGAGGGCTGCGGGAGGCGGGAGGAAGAAGCGGGGCCGGGCTTGAGTTGGGTTGACCTGTGAAAGTCTGGGAAGGTCTGCGAGAGAAGCCGAGTGTTTTCAGCTCCGGAAGTGGCAGTTGTAAACTTCACCTCCCGGGGACTCGTCCCCTCTTGTACCCCTTTGCTCTTTGTCCCCCTCCTCCCGGGTCCTAGAGTCCGTCGTGTTCCTACAGTTTTTGCTCTTATCCCCGTGGGCTGCCTGAGCCGCCTCCTATCCCTGAGACTTCGAGCGGCTCTTGGGGTCTTGGGTGTGCAGCATGGATCACGCGAGACCCCTGAGGTAACCGCACGGTGTGGGCGCTTCGAGGCGGACGACCTGGGAGGGAGGTGTTGAGAGGGTTGTAGGGGCCCCTGAGTGAGTTTGGGGCGGCCCTGGGACTTTTGGCATCGCCTTTGGGGCACGCCTCCAGCTCCTTGGGCTGGGTCTCCCCGCCCACCTGGAGGAAGATCACCGTGGAGCATCCTAGCCAGAGATCGCTGCCGCTGTACCAGAGGGCCGGATAGGGACCAGAGGGGAGGCAGAGGACCGAGACTTGGAGCTTCTTAGTTTACTGCTGCGGAGCGCTTTCCTTCCCGAGAATCAGTAATCCCCTAGAGGATAGGTACCACGTCTTTCTGCCCCTCTCCCCTTTTTAAATGCCAGCCACACACTAGACACTCTACAAATGTTTGATAAACGAGAATGAGTTGTGCTAGACTGTCACCTGCAGCTTCTGCCTGTCCTCCAAGTCTCAGAGTCTGAGAGACTCAGAATCTGAGTCGGCTGTGCGTTTTCCCGAAGCTGTAAATTTTCTGCAGAAATGGAGCTTTTTGAATTTTTTTATTCCATTATGATATTGATCCTAGGAAAATACATATTTCATGTATACATTTTATGTAAATAAGATAAATACGTCTTTATTTTATTAGAGTTGGTGTCCAGCTGTTTTGAATACATGACATACCGATGTTTTATGGTTTTCATGTTAGAGAAAAGAACATACGCTTTTGTCACTTGTCTTGTTTAACAGCTAGTGCCTACTCTCAACAAAACAATGGTAGAGCAGAAGATGAACATGGTTTTTCATAAAATGCAGAGGAAACAAAGGCGGTGCAAGCTGCTAAGAGGAAAGATGAAGGGCATAGTCTTAGTTTGTAGCGTTCTGTATTAGTCTTCGCTCAGCCATTTATGAGCTGCGTCCCCGCAGGCAAATCACCTAACCTTCCTAGTCGTTAGGTTCCTTATCTGTCAGATAAGGAGTATGGACTTAGTCTCTAAAGTCTCATTTGATTCTAAAACGTTTTGGTTGTCTCAGTCCCGTGGTCTTGGTCTTGTTTTGATGTTAAGAACCAAACTTTCCCTTTAAAGGCTCATTATGTAACTATACTGAGAAACACTTCCAACACAGGTGAGGTTACTAATGAAGACAGCACTGCCTAGTGAAAGAGGATGGACTTAGCCAGATGTGGATTTGAATTCTCATTCTCTGGCTGATTTCTTTTTTTTTTTTTTTGAGACGGAGTCTCGCTCTGTCCCCCAGGCTGGAGTGCAGTGGCGGGATTGGGGCTCACTGCGAGCTCCGCCTCCCAGGTTCACACCATGCTCCTGCCTCAGCCTCCCAAGTAACTGGGAATACAGGCGCCCGCCACCATGCCCGGCTAATTTTTTCTATTTTTAGTAGAGGCGGGGTTTCACCGTGTTAGCCAGGAGGGTCTCGATTTCTTGACCTCGTGATCCGCCCATCTCGGCCTCCCAAAGTGCTGGGATTACAGGCGTGAGCCACCGCGCCCAGCCTCTGGCTGAATATTTTTACACAAATTACTTAACATATCCAAGCCTCAGTTTTCTTATCTGTGAAATGTGCATAATAATCTTACAGAGGTGAAGGGATTAAATGAAATAAGGAATGCTGATCTCAGTATCTGGCATATAGTAAGTGGCTCAGTAATAGGAGTTTCTATCTTTTCATCCACCCATCCGTCATTTTTCCTCTGATCTGAGCAGACACACTAAAAGATGAGTACATTTGGGATGACCAACTGAAGGACTCAGATGTGAGGTAGAAAAATTTTTTACCAGTAGTGGCTCCGAAATCTCAAGTAGATTCGCCTTTCTGGCTGGCACCTCCTCTCAGGATGTCCGGATCACTGATCCCTTGGCCTCAATTACCCTTTAATCTATTTTAAAAAATGTTTCTCATTGATGAATGATATACATAATATCCCATCATCTATTTTAGTAGGAATGGTGAGATTAGTTCAATTCCACTATCAAAAAAAGATTAATCTATTAATACATTAAGATAAAAAGCTAATTTGAACCTTGCCTTTCTTTATCTGTCACTGCTACAGGATGGCCTGGTTTTGGTCCAGACCTGTGAAGGTGCTATTTGGATTGAGAATTGACTGAAGGTCTGAGTAATCTTTTGTTGAGAAGACCATGGCTTGTCAGTTTGGATATGGGGAAAAATGATATTTTTAAGAAATCTCTAGCAAAGAGCAGAAATGCTTCCCTGACAAGTGAGGTCTTACATGCTTCCCTGGATGGGATGAAGTGTGTCTTGAGGGCCAATGGCAAGGCACACAGCAGAGCTCTGTAGTCAGCTAACTTGGGTGTAAATCCTGACCCTGTCACTAGAGATGTGAGAGATGTGACTTTGGGCAAGTGATTGAATATCTGTAAGCCCTAGTTTCCTCATATATAAAGTATGGATATTAGCATTGTCTTCCCCTTGGGGTTGGTGTAAAGTGAAATGAAATAATATTTAGAAAGTTTTTAGTACAATGCCTGGAGAAGGGACTTTTGTGACAGTTGGAATGATGACAGCAGGGAATGACTTTGTGTCATACAGTTTGTTCACAAATAATGATCAATTGAATATTTTCAAATGGAAAGTAATATTTATAGTTAAGTATTGAAGGCTGATTTTGGTTGCATGTCATAAGCAATTTTTAATTACTCACATAGTGTGGCCAAATTGTGTATTTTAACTTTGTGGAGTTTCACAGGGAAGTTTCAAGTAAAGCCAAAAATAAATACTCTTTAAGGGTACTGCAGTTCTTTAACTTAGCTTCATATTCCATTGACATTTTCATTACTGTACTGTAACTCCCTACTTGACTGTCCTCATCATTCCTTGCCTTTTCACCTGGTGGAAGAAGAGGGAGGAGGTTTTACTGCACCTTCTCTGCTGTGCTCAATTGCATGGGAATCCTATCATAGTTCAAATTGAGCCACTGACCATATCAACTTTGGTCCTTCATTGATTTAGTCTTCCTAGAACACACAGAGAGGTAAATCTTTGTTCTCTGTGTTATCGGGAGTTGATATCAGCAAGGAAGATGAAGTAAATTAAAAAAAAAAAGAAGACTTGATAAAAGACACACAGGCATAGCTGGTGTGGAAACCCGTTTTCCTGTCTTACCTGTCTGTTACTCAACTTTTTTTCACCTTAGGTTCAAGATGCTGCCTGCAGTTCTTTGCCATGTAGCCTCTTCCATAGGCAGTTCACAGCATGACACTTTGCTTTTTTTTTTTTTTTTTTTTTTTTTTTTTTTTTTTTTTTTTTTTTGAGATGGAGTCTCACTCTGTAGCCCAGGCTGGAGTGCAGTGGCGCAGTCTCGGCTCATTGCAATCTCCGCCTCCTGGATTCAAGCGATTCTCCTACCTCATCCTCCCGAGTAGCTGGGATTACAGGTGCTCGCCACCATGCCTGGCTAATTTTCTTTATTTTTAGTAGAGACGGGGTTTCACCATCTTAGCCAGGCTGGTCTTGAACTCCTGACCTCGTGATCCACCCACCTCGGCCTCCCTAAGTGCTGGGATTACAGGCGTGAGCCACTGTGCCCGGCCTGACACTTTGCTTCTTTAAGGCCAGCAGGAGATTGTCATTCAGTCTGCTAAGATAAAAGTCTTATATAATGTAATCATAGGGATGGCATCCCTTCATCTTTGCTATATTCTACTGGTTATATATCAATGAGCTAGAAGTAGATCAAACTTGCTCCTGAGCTATGGAAGATGCTATCTCTCTAGAGGACCATTCAGATATGAAGATGTTAGATGCCAAAATAATGCACTGAAGTATGATGATTAACTTTATTGAAACAACTTTATTAAAAGTTTGATAACTTCTTCTTCCCACACTTCTCTGCCCAATATACAAAAACATGATTAGGGCCCTAACTATCTGAAATTATTTTCCTAAGAGATAAATAGAGGTCTGTTTATGCCTGTTGTGCCACCTGTGTGTGTGTGTATTTAAAATTTTCAACAAAACAGGAATATTTAATGTACGTGCTTTTGTGCTTTGGACATTACTCTTAAATACAGAAGGGTCCATTCCTTCTAGGTTCTAACTCTTACTTTCTTTTTTTTTTTTTTTTTTTTTTTTTTTGAGACGGAGTCTTGCTGTGTCGCCCAGGCTGGAGTGCAGTGGCCGGATCTCAGCTCACTGCAAGCTCCACCTCCCGGGTTCGTGCCATTCTCCTGCCTCAGCCTCCCGAGTAGCTGGGACTATAGGCGCCCACCACCTCGCCCGGCTAGTTTTTTGTATTTTTTAGTAGAGACGGGGTTTCACCGTGTTAGCCAGGATGGTCTCGATCTCCTGACCTCGTGATCCGCCCGTCTCGGCCTCCCAAAGTGCTGGGATTACAGGCTTGAGCCACCGCGCCCGGCCCTAACTCTTACTTTCATTCCGAAGGAAGTTTCCCTGGGGTCTGACCTTTAGGAGCATGGTGATAAGGTGACAAGATTTTGGGACAGTATTTGAAGAGTTTGATAGAGATTCCTTGGTGCCCCCCACTTAATAGCTGAATGGCTTTGGGCAAGACAGTTGAGCCTCTCTGAATCAGATGAGTTTTCTTAAAAAGGGAGGATAATAACCCTCAGGTAATGTAACTTACAATTCAGCTTCATGTGTTATCAGTGGCCTTGTAGAAAGAACTTGGACTTCAGTGTCAGAGTTATGAGTTGGAATCTTGGTTCTGTAAGTCTGCAACTTTTTCAAGTTACTACTTTTTTGTTTGTTTGTTTGTTTGTTTGTTTTTGAGACGGAGTTTCACTCTTGTTGCCCAGGCTGGAGTGCAATGGTGCGATCTTGGCTGACTGCAACCTCCGCCTCCCAGGTTCAAGTGATTCTCCCGCCTCAGCCTCCTGAGTAGCTGGGATTACAGGCATGTGCCACCATGCCCGGCTGATTTTGTATTTTTAGTAGAGACGGGTTTTCTCTATGTTGGTCAGGCTGGTTTAGAACTCCCAGCCTCAGGTGATCTGCCCGCCTCAGCCTCCCAAAGTGCTGGGATTACAGGCGTGAGCCACCACACCTGGCTCAAGTTACTTTTAATCTCAGTCTTGGTTTTCTTGGTAGAAAAATGGGATACTCCTTACATTGCAGTGTTGTAAGGATCACAATTCTATATATAAAATACCAAGTACAGTGCTTGACGCTGTAGTAGGTGCTCAGTAGATGAATGATGGTGGATTCATTTGTCTACCACTATTTCCCACCTAGTCTTTCAGGTCCCTAGAGAGATGAGATCTCCCCATTCCCACATCATCTTGGCCAAAATTCCAACCTCTGTCCTAGGTCAGACTGTTCAATCAGCCACGTGAATCACTGTTGTAAAGATCTTTTGGATCTATATGTAGGAGCTGTTAGTCAGTTCTCAGCACTGAGATACAGTCTCCATCTCAGTCTGCTTATTTGTTTTATAGTTCCTCTTCTTTCGTTGATCTCCCTGAGGTCTAGATATCTCCATACACCTACAATTTCACTTATCAATTATTTATTACAGCTTTCCCCTAGACTGAATCACCCCAAGTATCACTCACTCCCTTCCTTTATCAGGGATCATTGTATTTTTTCAGAGAGTTCTGTGTTTAGTAATACAAATGGGTGGTGGCTGGGCACTGAATATGTGCTGAATATATTACTGGATTTTAAATATATGAGATTGATACTGTTATTCCCTTTATATGGTTGAGGAAACAGGCCCAAAGAGTTTTAAGTAACTTGCCCAAAGGCCACATACTTGTAAGATATTTATTAGAGTCCTAATTCAGATCTTTCTGAGTCCAAAGCTTACAGTCTTTCTTAGGATTCCAAACTTCCACTAGGGACACCAGGAGACCCTTTTGGCATATTTGTATTTGTGTGTATTTGGGCTTAATTATTGTTATTTCTCTGTTTAAAATGTTTACCCAGAGACTCCTAACACTGTGGTAAAGTAACTTACTTTGGCTCTGTATAATTTTGAATATCTCCTGTAGAAGAAGGTTCCAAAAGGTAGGCCAGAGTAAGTGACAGATACTCTTCACTTCCCTTCTTCCTCTTTGATTGCTTGGGAGAAGGACTTTGAAAGTTATCATGTGATCTTTTGGTTGGGAGTACCTTGGCATCTTTGATGTGTCATTTATGAAAAAGGCTTTGGGGACCCAAAAATGTCCCTGGACTTCATTTTCTTTCAAACTAAATTTTATGCCCTAGAGATAGGCACTGCATATTCTTTTTATGTTTTCAAGAATAATTTTTTACTATTTAGATAATTTGTTTTTCATTTGAGAAAATAATCTAATAGTTTCATCATTACTTCTTTCTTATAATAAGGAACACCTTTTTAACATTTTGTCATTGTTGTTTTCAATCCTTTTTATTTTAAAATTGTTATTAGACAAAAATATTTTTTAGAGATGGTTTCACTGTGTTGCCCAGGCTGGCCTCGAACCCTAGGCTCAGGTAATCCTCTTGCCTCAGCCTCCCAAGTAGCTAGGACTACAGGTGCATACCATGATTCCGGCTTCCAATCCTTTTTGAAAGAAATATAGTAAAACATTATAGCTTTTTGGAATACCAGTATTCATGTGTGTTATACAATAATTTAAAAAATATAAATAAGCCAAAAAACAAGAAAAATCTCCAATACTATCAGGACTCAAATTGCTATTGTATCCTTTACTATTTTAACAGACCTTAGATCATCTAACCTGTAAGCCACAGACATCTTGGACAATTTTAATCACCAAGAAAGAAATATGTCATTAAGAAACAGTGGGATATTTTGAAAGAGTTGGAAAACATCATGAATTTGAATACTTTAAGTAATGGCACTGGTGATACCCAAAGGTAAGCCTCTAGTCTCTCCTTTTAGTTGAAGAACGTTTTTAGTTGCAAGGATCGGGGAGAAGTCAGTGGTTGGTAGAGCTAATTGTAAGAATTCTCATGGGATGGTAAGGGGAGTAGAAATTCTGTGGGACTGAAGGAGCATGAACGAAGCCTCATAAGAATTGGAACTGAATCTAGAGACTTTATGGGGATTTTGTGCTCCTTTATTAATTTGGACCACAAAAGTCCGTGTGTCTGAACTTCCTCCTGTTACTAGAGACTTGCTTGTTCTTTTCCACTACTCTAAATCTTTCCATTGTATTTTTTCTTATTTACAGTTCTGTTTTGTTTTCTTTAACCTCTGTGGCTTTAATTCCTCTTTCTTCATTGGCCCAGCTCTAATTCATGGCTGATGTTTAAGCATTCATTTAGTCTTAGCTCCCGTGGCTGTTTCACTTCCTTACTTGGTATCTCTCAGTTTACCCTCCGAGAAGTAACACCTAATTGCTGTTGCTCATCTTTTTTGTACCATTGATTTCTGCCTTTGGGTGTGGTGCCTACCTTTAGTTCATTCACCTTTGGTGGGTGGAGTCTATAATATAAAACTGGACCAAGTAGGGTAGTGCCACTCTCTCCTAAGTGTGCTTTACAAAGAAATAAGTACTGAAATTAAAAGTAAATGTTTAGAAACTTTTATAGTCACGTAACAGAGTAATATTCTGTTTGCTGAATCTAAGAATAAAACATTTGGGGTTGTATTCTGTTTTTAAAATTTCTTTAAAAATAATGCATTAAATATATTTTACAAAATCATCATGGGGTGGGGTGAAGATAATCCCTCCTCATATTTAGTTTGAGAAGGACTGATCTAGACTACCTTTTCAGCAAGGACGTGTGGGTGGGACAAGTACCAAGACTAACATGTAATTTACTCGTAAATTTGCTACACAAATGTTTTCCACTTAGCTTTTGAAGCTACTCACCCCCAAATTTTTTTTTTTTTTTTTTTTGAGACAGAGTCTTGCTCTATCGCCCAAGTTGGAGTACAGTGGCATGATCTTGGTTCACTGCAACCTCCGCCTCCCAAGTTCAAGTGGTTCTTCTGCCTCAGCCTCTTAAGTAGCTGGGATTACAGGTGCCTGCCACCACGCCTGGCTAATTTTAAATATGTATATAAAAATTAGAACATTTCACCTTATTTAGTATCCTGCTTTTTCAATTTTGGGGAAACTTCTTGCCACATCAATATATCATAATTTTAAAATTTTTATGAAGTGGGGTCTTGTTATGTTGCCCAGGCTATCTGAAAACTCCTGGCCTCAGGCAATCCTCCTGCATCAGCCTCCCAAGTAACTGGAACTGTAGGCATGCACCATTGCCCCAGCTTGTCATAATTTTTAATGGCTAAATTACTTTTTATAATTCTACAATTTGGATACAGTTATTTAAAATCTACTAATCTACTTTGTTTCTGTAGATTTGCCTTTTCTGAACAATTCATATAATTGGAATCACATAATATATGGTCTTTTGTGGCTTCTTTTACAGGGCATATTCCTGAGGTTTGTCAAATTGTAGCATGTAGCAGCACTTCGTTTCTTTTTGTTGCTGATAGTATTCCATTGTGTGGATATGCCACATTATGCCCATATACCAGTTGACAGACATTTGAGTTGTTTCCACTTTTTGGGTACTATGAATAATGCTGCTGTGCATATTTGCATATGTCTTTGTGTTGACATATGTGTTTGTTTCCCTTGAGTAGATTCTTAGGCGCAGCAATGCTGTATCATATAGTAAATTTATGTTAAAATTTTCAAGAAACTGCCAAATTGTGTTCTCAAGTGGCTGGATCATTTTATATTATCACTAGCAATAGTTGAGGGTTTCAGTTTCTCCATATCCTGACCAATACTGGTTTTTATCTGACTTTTTCAATTTAGCCATTTTGGTGAGTATGAAGTTGTATGTTATTGAGGTTATAATTTGAATTTTCCTGATGATTAATGATGTTGAACATCTTTGCATGTGCTTTTTGGTCATTCATATATCTTCATTGGTGAAATGTCTCTTCAGATCTTTTGTTTATTTTTAAATTGTGTTATTTATTTTCATGTTATTGAGCTTTAAGAGTTTATGTATATTTGGAATGCAAGTCCTTTATCAGATATCTTATTTGCTGGCCTGGTGCAGTGACTCATGCCTGTAATCCCGGCACTTTGGGAGGCTGAGGTGGGTGGATTGCTTGAGCCCAGGAGTTTGAGACCAGCCTGGCCAACATGGCGAAACCACATCTCTACAAAAAAATATGAAAATTAGCTGGGCATGGTGGTGTGCCTGTGTGGTCCCAGCTACTCCAGAGGCTGAGGCATGAGAATCATTTGAACCTGGGAGGTGGAGATTGCAGTGAGCCGAGATCCTGCCACTGTACTTGAGCCAGGGTGACAGAGCGAGACTTTGTCTCAACAACAACAACAAAAAAGATATATGATATGCAAACATTTTTCTCCTGTTTAGTGGCTTGACTTTTCATTTTCTTAATAACGTCTATGGAAATGCACAAAGTTTTTAACTTTGATGAAGTTCAGTTTATCAGTTCTTTTCCTGTAGGAGTTGTGCTTTTGGTTTTGTATATAAGAAATCTTTGACTAACTTAAGGTCATGAAGATTTTTCTTCTATGTTTTCTTCTAGAAGTTTTATAATTTTAGCTCTTATATTTAGTGCTCTATTTTAAGTTACTTTTTGTGTATGGTATGAGGTCAGGGTCTAAATTTGTCTCTTTGCATGTGGATAGACAGTTGTTCCAGCAGCAGCGTTGTTGATAAGACTTACCTTTCCCTATTGAATTGCCTTGGTACTTCTGTTGAAAATTACTTAACCATGTGTAAGTATAGGTTTATTTCTAAGTCTTAACTCTGATATATTGATCTACATGTCTGTTCTTTTTTTTTTTTTTTTTTTTGAGGCGGAGTCTCACTTTGTGTCAAGGCTGGAGTGCAGTGGCGTGATCTCACTGCAACCTCTGCCCTCCGGGTTCAAGTGGTTCTCCTGCCTCAGTCTCCCGAGTAGCTGGTACTACAGGTGCCTGCCACTGCGCCCAGCTAATTTTTGTATTTTTAGTAGAGATGGGGTTTCACCATCTTGGGCAGGCTGGTCTTGAACTCCTGACCTCATGATCCACCGGCCTTGGTCTTCCACAGTGCTGGGATTACAGGCATACATGTCTGTTCTTAATCCAAAACCACATTGTCTTGATTACTGTAGCTTTATAGTAAGTTTTGAAATTATGAAGCAAACGTTTTCCCATTTGTTCTTCTTCAAGATTGTTTTGGCTATTTTGAATTCTTTGTCTTTCCAAATTTTAGGATTAGCTTTTCAGTTTCTGCAAAAATGTCTGTTGGGGTTTTAATAGGGATTATATTGACTATGTAGAGTAATTTGGGGAGAATTGCCATTTTAATAATGTTGAGTTTTCCTTACATGAATGTGAATATGGAATGTCTTTCCATTTGTTTAGCTTTTCAACTTCTTTCAACAACATTTTGTATTTTTCAGTGTAAAAATCTTTCACTTTTTTTTTTTTTTGAGACAAGATCTTGCTCTGTTGCCCAGGCTAGAGTGCAGTGGCATGATATTGGCTCACTGTGGCCTCAAACTCCTGAGCTCAAGTGATCCTCCTGCCTCAGCCTCCTGAGTAGCCAGGACTACCGGCATGTGCCACAATGCCTGGCCAATTTTTTTAATTTTTGTCGAGACAAGATCTTGCTATGCTTCTCAGGCTGGTCTTGAGCTCCTGGCCTCAAATGATTCTCCTACCTTGGCTTCCCAAAGTGCTGGGATCAGGCATGAGCCACCATCCCTGGCCTTGCATTTCTTTTGTTAAATTTATTTTATTCTTTTTGATGCTGTTATAAATGGGATTGTTTTCTTGATTGTTCATTGCTAGTATATAGAAGTATAATTGATTTTTGTGTATTGATCTTATATTCTGTGACCTTGCTGAAATTGATTTTAGTTCTAGTCTGTTTTTTCTTTTCTTTTTTTTTTTTTTGAGACAAAGTCTTGCTCTGTCACCCAGGCTGGAGTGCAGTGGCTGGATCTCAGCTCACTGCAAACTCCGCCTCCTGGGTTTACGCCATTCTCCTGCCTCAGCCTCCCGAGTAGCTGGGACTACAGGCGCCCGCCACCTCGCCTGGCTAGTTTTTTGTATTTTTAGTAGAGATGGGGTTTCACCGTGTTAGCCAGGATGGTCTCGATCTGCTGACCTCGTGATCCGCCCGTCTCGGCCTCCTAAAGTGCTGGGATTACAGGCTTGAGCCACCGTGCCCGGCCTTAGTCTGTTTTTTCTTAGTGGATTTCTAGGATTTTCTTTCAGAATCATGTCCTTTGTAATTAAAGATAGTTTTACTTCTTCTTTTCCAGTATGCGTGCCTTTTATTTCTTTTGTGTTGCATGATTGCACCATCTACATCTCTAGTACATCTTGACTAGAAGTTTTAATAGCAGATTTCTTTTTCTTGTTTCGGATCTTACAGGAAGCGTTTAGTCTTCCACTGTTAAGTATGATGCCAGCTGTAGGCTATTTGTAGATGTCCTTTTTCAAGTGTGGAAATTTTCTTGTAGTTTGTTAATAGTTTTTATCATGAATAGGTGTCGGATTTTGTCAAATGCTTTTTCTGCATCCATTGAGATGATCATGTAGTTTTTGTCTTCTATTTAATTAATTAATTAATTAACTAATTTTAGAGACAGGGTCTTGCTCTGTCACCCAGACTTGATTACAGTGGTCTGGTCATACCTCACTGCAACCTCAAACTCCTGGGCTTAAGTGGTTGGCCTCAGCCTTCTGAGTAGCTGGAACTATAGGCACTTAGCCTTGAACTCCTGGCCTCAAGCTATCCTCCTGCCTTGACCTCCCAAAGTGCTGGGATTACAGACATGAGCCATCACACCTAGCCTCTTTATTTTGTTAAAATTGTGTATTACATCAATTAATTTTCAGATGTTATACCAATTTTAT